CAACCTTGTATATCCCACCATGGCCATCGCCCATGAAGGACTTGCCTCACTCGGATAGATCTTCACGAAGTAGGCGATCTCCTTGCCCTTACAAACTTCTTGGTTCAACTCCACAACTTGATGGAGGCTCCCAAGCGACACCTAACCAATCTAGGAGACACCACTCTCCAAAAGGTAATAGATGGTGTGTTGTGATGAACTCCTTGCTCTTGTGCTTCAAATGATAGTCTCCCCAACACTCAACTCTCTCTCATAGATTTGGATATGGTGGAAAGATGACTTGAGTGGAAAGCAACTTGGGGAAGGCTAGAAATCAAGAATCTTGTGGTAGGATTGGAATATCTTGATCTCACACATGAGTTGGTGGTTCTCTCTCAGAAAATGTATGTTGGAAGTGTAGGCACGTTCTGATGGTTCTATCACAAATGGATAAGGGAGTGGAGGGGTATAGATAGCCTCCACACAAAATCCAACTGTTACACACATTTGACCCAACTCGATTAGACCGAATAGATGAACTCGGTGAGACCGATTTTAGTTCAAAATGTGAATGTTAGGAATCTCGATGGGACCGACTGGAACAACTCATTGGGACCGATGTGCTAGGGCTTAGGGCAAACCTCATCTCGATGGCGTCGATTGCATCAACTCGGTGAGGCCGAAGTGAAGCAATAGGGCAACAGAGAATTGGCAAGGTCATCTCGGTGAGACCGAGATCCATATCGGTGTGACCGAATTGTCAGGGTTTCCGGCTGTGGCTATGTCATATGAACTCGGTGGCTACGGATAGGATGAATCGGTGGGACCGAGTTGGAGTTTAGGGTTTTGACATATCTGGAATGAGAAAGTGGTTGAGGGTATTTGGAGTAATATCACTAAGCATTTGAGCAAGCAAGCCATTAAGCAACACCTCATCCCATTTAATAGTATTGGCTTTCCTATGGACTCAATGTGATCTTGGATCACTAAAAAAAAGATGAAGAGTCTTGAGCTTTTGCCAATATGCGTCCTTAACATTTTGAGGGGTCCACATTCCTAGTCCATGCCATGCCATTCATTGAACTTCCTGAAATATTTATCTTGAACGGATGTTAGTTCAGTGAGCTATATGTTGTTATGAATTAACAAAACCACCCGGGGATTAGTTGCACTTTCACAAGTGACTCAACAAATATAGCTATGCTCCCCGGCAACGGCGCCAGAAAAAGGTCTTGATAACCCACAAGTATAGGGGATCGCAACAGTTTTCGAGCATAGAGTATTCAACCCAATTTTATTGATTCGACGCAAAGGGGAGCCAAAGAATACTTGTAAGTATCAGCAGTTGAGTTGTCAATTTAACCACACATGAAGACTAAATATCTATAGTCGCACCATAGTATGATAAGTTGGTGGCAGTTGTAATAGCAGCAACAGGAGCGGCAATAGTAGTAGCAGTAGTTTTGTAGCAGTTGTGATAGTAGTTGCAACAGTAGTAACTTAGCAAGAACAATTATGTGAAAAGCTCGTAGGCATTGGATCGGTAATAACGTTGGATAATATTCATCATATAACAGTCATAAACTAGGGCGACACAGAACTAGCTCCAATTCATCAATGTAATGTAGGCATGTATTCCGTAAATAGTCATACGTGCTTATGAAAAAGAACTTGCATGACATCTTTTGTCCTCCATCCCATGACAGCGGGGTCCACAAGGAAACTAAGGGATATTAAGGCCTCCTTTTAACAGAGAACCGAAACAAAGCATTAACACATAGTGAATACATGAACTCCTCGGACAACGGTAATCACCGGAAAGAATGCCAATTATTGTCACCTTGGGGTATGCAGATCATAACTTGTAGCAGGTGCATATAACTTGCATGGTAGGATCAAGAACACAAATATATTCATGAAAAAACAAAGGGTTCAAATATGAAATCATGGCACTCGGACCCTAGTGACAAGCATTAAGCATAGCAAAGTCATAGCAACATCAATACCAGAACATAGTGGATACTAGGGATCAAGCCCTAATAAAACTAACCCGATTACATGATGAATCTCATCCAACCTATCACCGTCCCGAAAGCCTACGAAGGAATTACTCACTCCCAGCGGTGAGCATCAAGAAATTGGTGATGAAGGATGGTTGATGATGACGAAGACGGAAGATCCCCCTCTCCGGAGCCCTGAACGGACTCCACATCTGGCCTGCCGATGAAGAACAGGAGGTGGCAACGGGTTCATATCGTAAAACGCGATGAAACTTGTTCTCTTATTTTTTTCTCGAGAAATATGAATTTATAGTGTCTAGATTAGGGTCAGCGGAGCCACGAGGGCCCGACCACCCACCAGGGCGCGCCTGGGAGGGGGGTAGGCGCGCCATGGTGCCTTGTGGGCATAGGGTGGCCCTCCTCCATTGGGTCTTGGCTCTAGTATTATTCATTTATTCCATAAAAAATCTCCAAAAAGTTTCGTCCAATTCCGAGAACTTTTATTTCTGCACAAAAACAACACCATGGTAGTTGTGCTGAAAACAACGTCAGTCCGGGTTAGTTTCATTCAAATCGTGCAAATTAGAGTCCAAAATAAAAGCAAAAGTGTTTGAAAAAGTAGATACGACGGGGACGTATCAGTCTAATCCGTCCCAACGAAAGAACTTGAGGAGGATTGGAGCCCGAAAGACAAACTCGGAGAAGAATCGTCATCCATCAAACACCGTCCCTCCGAGGACTAAAACCCTAACTATCAACTAGCCAGAGCCAAAAGCACTAGGAATCCCTCCCCGCCACGGGCCGCCGGAGTGCCAAGCAGAGGGGAGGTGAATCCACAGGCTTGCTGACAGAGATTGAGGGACAGAAGGCTTTCCGTAGTCGCCTTGCGGGAGGGGGAAGAAACCATTGTGTAAGACCATAAAGTTATACATATAATTATTTTGTATAAATTACTATTAAGAGGCCAACAGGGCTCAAGAAACTGATAAGAAAATATTAATGTCGCCAACACTTTGTTAATAATGGGTCAAAATATATGTTCTAATCAAGTCCAAAAGGGGAGATGATTTTTTTGATCTTCAATGCTACGGTTGCAAAAAAAACTATAAACCGGCAAGGATGAGAGGAAAAAAACACCCATCGAGATACCATCGTCGCGATATTATAGTTTTGCCACAAGACCCGCTACCACAGGCTCATCCATTTGTTTTGATCTGAATCACACTCTGTGTCAGCTCTTCTTATAGATAAGGAACTCCACTCCTTAAAAACTGATTCATCTAAGTGCTCATTCAAATGATATACTAAAAACAACATATGCCAACTTGAATGAACTTGGTTAAATAAAGTCATTCCATAGCATACTTTCTAAATATAGATGTGTAAGCACCGCCGGTACAAATGCCACATAATATCACTTATTAATCATAGAAACCCATCAACAACCCCCACGTGTATGCCAATGGGCTGGGTATCAAATTACTCCCTCCGTTCGGAATTACTTGTCTCGGATATGGATGTATCTAGAACTAAAATATATCTAGATACATCCATTTCCGCGACAAGTAATTCCGAACGGAAGGAGTAATACTCAAGATACATACTAACTTTGAGCATAATTGTTATCATATCCATATTTGTTTACTTACTAGGTTGTATACCATTTTATTTTGCAACAAAATACATCTTTATTACTCTGCATAGAATTACAATTAGCCAAACATGAAATCCTATGTGATCTAGAACAGTGCAACCCAATACCGCCCCCCTAAAGGCAAACACTAGCGCACTCATGTTGTGCTGACACATGACTTTCTTGAGCAAGAACTCACCGTTTGTAGAAACAAGCCACTTAATCACAAACTATGTGACGATGAACTAAAGCGTACGTTGATTTATCAAAGCCTCATAGTCTGATGAACAACCATTGAGCGATCAGATCCTCAAGGACTATAGCAAAACCCTGAAAATTCCATTTCAAGAGGCTTGTCATAAATCGTCAAGTAAATCTCCATGACGTGAAGAGGAAATCACAGTATATGGCACGCAAGACCATGCTAGCAATGGTTGAACCATGCAAACGGTAATTCATTGATGGTCATGTTGTGGTACACTGGTACAATGTACATATCATACACATCATTCTAGAATCAACGACTCACCCAAGGTGCCATAGTGATTGTTTGATTTTAATGGAAGCTATATTCATTTGTTGCCAGAATTTCTATGGTGAACCAAAATAATTAAATATAACTCCTTAATACTACCTCTACTCGATTTACAAGTCGGGCACATGTTTTTAGATCCTTAATTTAAATAGCAAAATGTGTGTCATATGTTAGTACAAAAAATATAGTAACCTGAGATTCATCGCTGAATGAAGTTTCTAAACAGATATTGTTTGCACATATTACACATATTTTGTTTTGTTATTCAAAATCAAAACCTAGAAAATCATGTTGAACTTACAAAAACCGAACGAAGGAAGAACTTCAACCTTAAAAGCTTTGTCCAGCACAGCACCACCTCATTTCACAGCCCCCAAATAACACGGATATATTAATAGCAAAAAATGCCGTATTTATTTGGTTCTTTATTTGCCAAATGCTGTCGCAAGACACTCAACCATACACTGATTTATGACAGCATAATAAATGCGCATCATCATAATATAAACCAGCAACAACACTCCCGGAAAAGAAAAAGAAAAAGAAAAAGAAAAACACTTTCCAATCGCACTCCCAAACCACAGGGGCCCACACTGGCAGCGCTATAACGGCAGCTACCAACGCGCTCCAAATCTGGGACCTCCCACCGGCCCTACACGTTAGCCTGCCTCCCCCGTTCAATCAACGACCAGCACAATAACGAACTCCTAGATCCGACGGCCTGGATCCGCCGCCAGCCCGCTATATATCCAGTCACCTCACCCACGGGCACCCTCTCTTTCCGCCCTCCGCAACCTCACGAGACTCCCCCAACCCCAGGCGACCCTCCTCGGCGGCGGCGGCGCGGGCGGCGATGCAGATGGCGGCGACCACAACGGAGCCACAGGTGGCCGTGCCGCCTCACCACCCCCACGCGCACCCGCATCCGCACCCACCTCCGCATCACCCGCACCCGCACCACCACATGCCGCAGCCGCGGTGGGTCGTCCTCCCCTACCCGCCGCCGTCCATGGTGGCCGCCCCGCCGCCTCCGCCGCCGCAGTTCTCCAAGCACTACGCGCCGGGGCCGCCGCCTCCCCCTGCCGCGGCCGGGCGACGCACGCCGACCCCACCCGCGGCCGGATCCGGCGGGAACGGCTGCGAGGAGAATAAGACGATCTGGGTCGGCGACCTCCAGTACTGGATGGACGAGAACTACCTCCACAACTGCTTCGGCCCCAGCGGCGAGGTTCGTGTTCTCTCCCGATCCGGACTTGTCCGTACTAGATCTCGCGAATACAGTAAGATTCGCCCCATTCCTTTGTCCTGATTCATGTGTCGTGCCATCAAATTGCCATGAAAGCGTATATTTTGTGCTTTGTTGTCGCTTGATGCGAATAAAAGGCGATGCTTCTATAATTAGCCGTGAAAAGTTGCTCAAGGCGCCAACTTTAAGGCCATTCAATACAGTACGGATGGAATGCTCTTCTTTGAATGGCTATTACTTCCATAGCTGCGAGCCATTTCTTCTTTCTGAATTGTAATAACAAACAAAATAGCATTATTTTTTGCGATGCTAGCTTCCAAAGGTGCCGACTTTGGGGATTTATACTAGTAGTAGTTTGGTTAGTACTCGTTTGGAGGAAACGGTCTTGACACGTACTATAATTTAATGAACATTGTGAATGAGCTGAGCTAGTTATTGCATTTTGGTGATTACGGAATAAGTAAAATAACAGTTGGAGGGGTGAAAGGAAGCCATAATGAAAGCCTTTACCAATTACGACTATCTTTTATTGGGAGGTTTGCTTACTGACGTGGACAGGAATTGGGAAAGGTGGCAAGTACTTTGTCTGGAAGATGGTTAACGAAGAAAGCAAGTTGTACGCGTTATTGTGTTTGTACAATTTTCCAGAACTATCCTTCACGCACATAAACAATGATAGGTTCATTAAAAGACATAATGAATGTTAACCATTCATG